AGTGTTTACAGCGGTGTGTGCAGGCGGAGCAGTTGCTCGGCTGTCTGGCTCTGGTATGCTGGTCGTTCCCATATTCTCCTCGCTCTTTCAGACTGAATACAGAAGTGATTGCATGGAAATAACACATGGACGGCTACTTTATTTACCACCCGTCTCCCTCCGTAGTTTTAGGCTGAAGAAGCTGATCCGGAGTGAAGTGAAGGCTGCAAAGTTTGCTGTGCGGCGTTAGTTTTAACAGGTAGCAACGAATATTTACAAGCCACCGTCTTCTTAATTCAGGGTCCATGAAAACTTAAAAGCCCATTATATTAGGAAGACAACAATGTTCGTAGTATTGCTGTGCGTCTGAAATACGACTTTGTATTTTCTAGCTGTCATGGGAACTCAAAGTGGAAAGAAACCCCTATTTCGCTCATGCAGACGTGAAGTCAGCGCCGTACGTGCAAAGAGCTCATTGAGAAAGAGAATAAAAATGAATAGACACATAAATCTATTTTATGTGTTAATAGCTGTTTCCTCAGTTATTTAAAGAACTGAGGAAACATATTTCTATATTGAGAAAATTCAGAAATGGTACAAATATCTAAAACTTTTAAAACGTATCCCAGGAGTCTGCAGTCTTAATGAGTCATTTTTGCTCTCAGTAAAATAAAACACGTTTAGAGCCACAAATATCACATGACCTTTATAACTGTTTATCATTTTTTGATAAATAGATGCTATAGATTTTTAAAGAACCACTATTATGGAAGAGAAAAACCTCTAAAACTTTAGTAAAAATAAAATTGTATGGGATAAAAATGTATCGTATGTATAAACGATGTATAAAAAGTATATAGCTTCCAACTTAAAGTAGAAAAAGTTAATCCAGAAAAAAATTATTGCTACTTTTATTGACATTATGTTGTGAAAATCCAATTATTCCATGATAAAACTGCTCTTAAATCTAAATTACCTGGTTCTTAGTCAAAGCTATTGAAAGTGATTGTGGAAGGTTGGAGAACCCTGACATAAACCATATAAAAATAAAAAATAATGTAGAATATTTGTAATAATAAACAATGCTATTGGATTTTGAACAGTATTTGCCTCGAAATAAATTTATTATTACCTGTTTCATTATATGGTAGTAGTACACCTTCTTTACTTGATCTCAGTTCATTCATCTACCAACTTCTTGCTCCTCTACCTACCCAGTCGTCTCATCTGTCCCCTCCCCAGTGACCCTCACCCTTCCCCTGTCCCTTGACTTTCCTCCCCTGCGTTTTCCTTGCCCGGTTTTCTTGCCTATGGATGATACAGGATACCCATGCTCCAATTTCACCCTCTCATCATGACATCCATTAAAGTGGCACTCAGTCCTGGGCCCCTGTTGGCCTGACAGCACATTAGCCCTCGGCCCATTGAACGCCAACAAGGACCAGCTCTGAATTATTGATACCAACACAACTAATGAAGAAACCCTATCTCAGCTCTTTTTATGTCTCTCTTTGTCACACACACACACACACCCTCCCCCCCCAGCCCCCCACACACACACAGGTTGAATGCCCAGAGAAACATACACACACAATTTTATTGATGTTAACTATCATTCCACCTGCTTGTAACCCATTTTGAGAAACATATTCTCAGTGGTCAGTCCTGTTCCTGCAGAACACAGAGTGTTTGGGTTCATCCAAGACCTGAATTCCTGTTCTTTTCAACAAATTGTTTGCTCGGTTGCCCGAAATGCTGGTGAGGGACTCTGTTGATATGTTTCTCTTTGATTCTAGGTGATATTTGCATATATATCTGCAGGTGCTTTCTTTCTTGGAGCTTCTTGTCATAGGATTTTATACAGTCTCTGATAAGCGTGAGTGGGTGTTTGTGGCATTAAAATGTGCCTCTGTTTACCTACAAAGTCATACAGCATCTTTCAAAACAATTTAAGCCCCTTGAATCCTTTTACATTTTGTCACATTGGAGCCAAGCATTGAATTTCATGTGAAGAACTAACACAAATTTGTGCATAATTGTCAAGTGCAAGGAAAATGATGTATGGTTTTCAAAATGTTTTCTCAGTAAGAAGCATTTCAATCATTGACATTCACATTTTGCTGCAATGATTAGGGTTGTTGATCTGATATAAGGTGAACATCTGCCCCAGTCTCATGTCTTCTTGAGCTTCTATCACAGTAATGACTGTAGTTAGGAGGATGTGTCATAATGTTTAAGATTTGTTCCCGGTTTAACACTCCTGAATGAAATGACGGAATATTTCCAAGCCTTTGTAGATTTTGTGTCCGCTGCGTTGGAGCAGGGACCAAAATGAGAACTGCAACTCACTGATGCTTCAGGAGCTGCCCAGCATTTAGTTTGATCAGTCTTCTGGTCAAATAACTCAGAGCGCCCTCCTGTCCATACTGAAGAATATCATCCTCCTGTATGATTCTGTAAGATCACATTTCACCCATATATGGGGTGTTCAGTATGATGTGAGGTGTTGTCTTTCCATAAAAACATGTTGTTTTGCAAGAGAAGGTCCACCAAAATTAGTTTAATTCTGCCTGACTAGAGGGTCTTCTTCCATATGCTTGCAAGATGTCTTGTGGTTTCTTTACAGGAACAACTTTGGAAGATTAGAGTCAGTTTCGGTGCCCATGTCTACACAAGTTTCTAATATACTTCCTTCCATTTATCCCATCATCTATGAATGATGGCATGAATATCTGCTGCCATCAAAGGTAATGCAGGACCTGGTACCTATCAGTGGTCATTGGGCAAGAGCTGGAGTTCATCATGGGGCAACATAGGCATAGATACACACACAACTAGCAATAATGTTTCTTGACTATTGGAAGAACATAAAATATCCACGTAGAAATACCCCAGGCCTCGATTCGAACCTAGGACCTTCTGGCTTAAAGGGAAATGTGCTACCAACTGCTCCACCTTGCTAATACTAGATAAGAGTTTCTCTAAAAAACAATCTCAGAATTTGTCCTTTGTCAAAAATTCCTAACAAATATGGCACTGTTTCCAGAAATGTCTTCACTCATACCAAAAAACGACCAAGGTAGATGATCTTTTAAGGTAATTCACCTGTTAAGGTGAGTTAGGTTTGCTAATTAACTTTTGCAAACCTCTGAGACACACACAGAACAGCAGGATTGATACTAAAATTTAACTACACAGGTGGACTTTTTCCTTTTTTACTTTTCGGGTGTGATGGTGGCGACGGCGGTAGGAGTTTGCCCTACAAGTGGACGCTTCAATTCTTGCTCCACCCACTTCTGTTGTGTCCCAGGGAAAGACACTTGACCCACCTTGCCTGCTGGTGTTGATCAGAAGGGCTGATGGCAGAAGCCAGTGGCAGGCTGGGCAGCTGTGGCTACAATCCAGTAGATTGCCACTTATCAGTGCATGAATGGAAATTACTGGTTTTATGTAAAGCGTCTTTGAGAACCCTTTGAGGATTGAAAAGGACTGCATAAGTCTGACATCATTTCATTATTTAATTTTCCTTTGGGACAAATAAAGTATTTCTGAATTTGAATTGAATTTGAATTTTCTAATTTGGTGATAAAGTAACTTCTATTCACTGCACTATATTTATTTCTGGGGTATCAAAGTAAAATACACTGAATGGCATAATTTCCTAAATTCTATTGACAAAAGTTTTTAAAAATCACACATCATACATTTCTTCCACTTTGCTATATATCTCATACAATTAAAACAAAACACACTAAAGTTCAAGGGGTACAAACAGATTTCCAAGGTACCATGGAGGTATGCAGCGGAGCTCCTTCACAGAGAGGTGTCAGCCCATCTCCTTAGTATTCACTCCAACATCCTTTGACTCACAGCCTCAGCCTGAGAGCGTGAGAATGGAAGTGAGAGAGTACAGTTAGAAAATAAAAAAGCAAAAAGAGAAAGCAGGACGAGGGGAGACTCCATGAACATCAGACAGCTTTCTGCTGTCGCCCCAGGCTCACGTGGTTATATCTGTTGTGTTTGCAAGCAGGCCTGCCCAAGGGGATTAGTTTTTTTGACAGTTTTGTTAAGCCTTCTCTAATGCACCGAGCTACTCGGTAACGTCGGGGCTGTGATTTTAGAAAACGTCTCTCCCACGCTGTCCTATGATTTCTCCTTCATAAAGGGGAAACTGGAAGGAGAGAGCAGTTCGGGAACATGACAGCGGACATTTTTCTGAGTGGCTTTTTAGTGTGGTGGAATTGGACCATAAAACAACTGTCTGCGAATCTCCTCTTCAATTAGTGACTGTTTTGCTGAGGTCCTGTTTAATTCTCTCCTGGGTCTGACAGCTTTCCTCTCTCTTTGTCTGCGTTTCCTTCTGGTCGTCTCTTCTTGTCTCTCCACGTCTCTTCATCCCTCTGTCAGTTTGTGTTTAGTTTAATCTCTCCCCCTCCTTTTCTGCTTCCTCCGCTCTGTCGCTTCCCATTTCATCTCTTCTTTTTTTTTGCCTGGCATCACCCCCACCCACCCACCACTCCTCTCTTCCCCCACCGCTCTCCCAGTCTGAATTCCAATCCCTCTGACAAAAGCTCAGACGATAAAATGTCTAACTTTGCTTGAAAGGGTCAGGAGATGGAAGGAGAGAAGGACAAATAAAAGGTTAATCCTTTAACAAGTCCACATAGGTGTGGAGTCAAAGGACAGAGAAAGAGGGGAGGGCAGGAGAGGGAAGAGGTGGAGAACAACAAGTGCTGTAAACAGATGTGGGAGACTGGGCTCTTATAGGGGGGTGAATGTGAAAAATGAGAGGGAGATGGCATTTTCAGTCAAGCTCCGTCTCTCCTTCATGACTTACACTCTGCATGATGACAAGTGTGTGCCGTCGCTCCCATTGGCCAAGTCTGCCACCAATCAGAGCAGAGGCATGTAAGGTGCCTTTAGGTTATACCCAGTCCCAAAAACAAGAAGCAGAGAGAAAGTGAGACTGGGAAAAGAGAGTGTGTGTGTGTGTGTGTGTGTGTGTGTGTGTGCGTGTGTGTGTGTGTGTGTGTGTGTGTGTTTTCTGTGCGAGACCAAAGCAGGTGCTGACTTTACATAGCAAGGAGGACGTTCCCCAGTTTTTTTTTTCTTCTTCTTCTTTTGAAGCCTCCTGTGAAATGGTACAGATGAAAGGAAAGTGCTTGTCAGCTGTTTGCTGGAGACCACTGCATTTCCTCTTGGCTGCTGTGGAGTAGAAGATCAGGGCTCTGTAGCCCTCCCCCTTGTGATTGGCTGTCACACTTTAGGCTCAACCCCCTTACCCCCCTCGCTCTCCTCTCTCTTTCTCCCCTTCACCGTCCTCTGCTCCTTACACTGTCCTCAGGCATACCTGAGCCACCGCTGCAGAAACACTGGACCCCCCCCTCCTCCTCATTCGCGCACTAACATATCCACACACACACACTCGCAAGAGCACCCACGCTCTCTCTGTTCCACACACACAGTCTTTCACCTGGAGAGGGCAGGCGCAAGGGACGACATGTGCAGCAGCAGCAGCAGCAGCAGTCTGTCTCCACATCCAGCACTGCCTCTCTGAGTTGCCTCTTTCCGGAGAGTGGAAGGGGGGGGGACGACAGAATTTTTTTTTTTTTTTTTTTTTTTTTTTTTTTTGAGCTTTTTGTTGTTGTCTCTCGGCGAAAGCAGGAGAGACTCGGGCAAGTGGGGGGAAACACCTGCCAACCCCAGGGGATACCAAAGGCAACACAAACCCACACAGCATGATTCTGGGTGAGTTATCTGTCTTTCTTTTTTTCAGTGCATGGGATTTTTGGTGAGGTCAGCCACTAATCCCTATTTAAACTTGGCCACCAGCAGCTCCTGATTAATGCCATGTTCTGCTCCGTCTGCTCCGCTTGGATAAACCCTTTAAAGTCATGGTCAGCGTGCGTAATTACGACAGTAGTGTGCCATTACTGAGGCAGGTGTGAGTGATGACAGTGAAGGTCAAAGTGTTTCGGAGCTGTTTGGTCACATGACCAGACATGCGTGTGGTGCCAGAGGAGGAGAGCTGACAGGGATGCTTTTGTCCAAACTTGCTGATAAGGGATGGACATTTATACAAATAGAGAGGACCACGTGGGGGAATTTCATCTCTTGAGATAATACAGCCTCTTGAAAAAAAAATAACATGACCATTTACAGGGAATGAGCCAGTCTCCAGTATGCAGGACATGTTAGTTTGCAGTTAATCTTGCACTGTTGCTTTGCTTTGAGTCAGCCTGCTAGCAGTTTCTTCTTTAGTATGCTGCTCTCATACTGGCCATGCTTGAAGGAGGGACTTCTGTGTGCATTCACACGGAGGATGAGTCCAGCTACTGTTTAAATTGGATAGATATAGGTGTTCTAGAGTATTCTCATTTGTGTATGGCCGTTTCTATGAGACTGTGTGTGAGGGGGGGACTCAGCATTGCAAACGTGTGTGTGTATGTGTGTTTGTCTGTGTTGCTATGTGCTCTGAAGGAGAGGCCACTTTGTTTTAACGCATGCCTGGGCTGATTCAGGCACCACTCTGCTTCTCTGCCCACCCGGCAGGCATGTTTTTCATGCAGACATCTTTAATGATTATAGGGAGTCGTGCAGACTCTCGGCTGTGAGGGCTGGCAGAGGTATGCATATTGAAGAGCGTGCATGTAGAGTTAGCGAAAGCTATGAAGTGTGTATATATAATATATATATATATATATATATATAAAAGTTGGGTTACCGAATTGCGCCCTGATTATTTTCTTGTTTTGCAGCTGGTCAAAAGTGAATATTTTGACTTAGCAATTAGACGAGTACTGTCTTGTTTGGGTTGCAGGTGGTAGCAGCTGCAGTAAATGATATTCGACCTGGATGTGTTAACAGCAGCAAAGCTACGCCACTTTAATGGTTTTAGCTTAAGGTAGTTATTATGCTGTCAGTTTTAACTGTTAAGGAGTCTAAGCAAAAGTCATAAAATGTGGAATTTATCTTTGCAATGAGGGCCTTTGCAGAAACACACTCAGGCTATGTTGCTTTCACTGCAGATTTTTTACAGCATATTGACCTCATTTAAATTATAATCCTGTAACTTACTGCATAACACTTTTATCTTCATGTCTAATAGCAAACCAGTGCTTATGCTGATTAGAGGGGTAGATATGAACTTTTGAAGTGAGGTTCTGGCACAGTAAGCCATAGTAAATGCAAAATGCATGTTTCAAATTATTATGTCAATTATTAAGAAAAAAACTTTTTCAAAGTCCAAATGTGAAAAAATAATTTCTGATCAAGAAAATAATTTGAATGAACCTGCCTGAAGATATGAAACAGGCAAAAAAGTTTTCATAAAGCAACACATAATTCCCCCAACCTAAAAAACATGAAGAACAGATAAAAAAAATGTCATCCAAGAAAAACCATTTGCAAG